TAATTTGAAACGGATAAAGATTATTTTTATAATAAAATTAAAAAAATTGATACAGATACAGTTTTACAATTTAATTTGTAAATAATTTTGATCAACAATAAATATACTTTATAAGGTGGAATAAATGCCAGCTTAAGCTCAGTTTAAGTATAGCTATGAGGTTATAAGAACTGAACGACTTAAAGAACTCAAACTGAGATGCCCAAAGATAAAGCCACAAATAGGAATAAGAAGTTAAGAAAAATATATTTAATTGCAAGAACAAAAAAGACGAATCCTAGAGTTTTTATAACTTCAGCTTCAACTGTCAGTTAATCTCTCGCAAGGTAACCTAACCCAGTGCCTCACATTTGAAGACATCGCACAATCCGACAATCGCTCATCAGAGAAACGCGCATCTGAGAAAAGGCCACAGCGCATTTTTATGACTTGATGACCATCTTTTAATTGTCTGGGAAAATGCATTTTATCGACGCACTGAGATCAACCGAACGCGTCGCAACATAAATGATATCAGGGCATCAAATATGCCTTATATGTTGGGTGCGCCTTGGCAACCCGGAGGAAAGGAAAAAAAATACGTTACAAATATAACGCTTGGCTGACGAAGGCACCGGGAGACAACTACGCGGAGTTGGTCAAGTGCTGCGTGAAGTCGCTGAGACTTTTGATGTCGCCCCATTTTCGCGCCTGTGTTTCGTCTACACTAACTGCAGGGGTGTTGTCACTTTCATGTGAAGCATGTGACGACTTGAGGGCGGCATTTGAACTGGCTTTAAGACGATCCGGATAATGCCGGGTAGCTCAATTTGGTATTCACCATAAAGAGAACCTTCAATCAATTATATGGCAAAAGAACAGCCGAACTTGTACATGAACCTGTCCCTGAACCGAATCACATTTAGAAGAAAGTTGGTTTAGTTGCATAGTTCAAAACAGCTACAATCAATAATGTAAAATACTTTCCTTATGTCAGAATTGCTTATATGAAAAAGGTTAATATACAATCAAAATTAGACGTTGTTGTTGCATTGAAAATGATTAAAAGTGTGAGAATCAGGGTTTGAACTGTCCACTGGTTCAATTTAAGAGCCAGGTTGTACAAATTTAATAGTGATGAAAATTTGTTTCAAAATGTTAAAAACAGGGCTTGAACTCTGAGCTGGTTTAATTCTGAAGTTAGGTCTTACAAATTTGGCACAGATGCAATTAGTTTTATAAATATGAGAAACAGGGTTTGAACTGTAAACTGGTTCAACATTTCAAGTTATACCTTATAAATTTCGTAAAAATGCAAGTTTTTTTGTATAAATGTGAGAAACATGGTTTGAACTGTAGGCTGGTTCAATACTTAAGTTAGCTCTTACAAATTTGGCACATATGCAAATTTGTTTTTAAATGTGATAAACAGTGTTTGAACGGTGAACTGGTTCAACTTTGCAAGTTAGAACTTAAAAATTTGGTAAAGATGCAACTACAAGAGTTACTTTGATGCTTTAACTAATTATGCTTTAGATATAGAATTAGCTTATGTTCATGAGTGTATTTAATAGTCGTTTACCCTCATCCGACTCATTTCCGCTGTGTTTTTTTTCTTTTCATTTCTCTCATGCTCATTGGGCAACGTGTGAACTGCGATGGCCGTAGGAAGTGTCTCTGGACTCGCTGCAATTTTGATTTGAGGCCCGCAGGCAAAACGGCTACAGGTGAGTGCTCCTCGACTTGGCCAGGGGTAACTTGTTAGCTTGCCAGGCGGGGCAGCTTGGTTGCGGGCGAGGGCGGGATGAGGGCGCGCTGCTAATTGGGCAACTGCTGGCAATTGGCAAATGCAAAGCCGAACAAAATTGTTGCTGGCTGCAAAATGCCGCCAAATGGAATCAAAATATTTACTGCAGTCGCAGCCCAGTCGAGTGTAAGGATATGCAGAAAGAATGGGAAGTCATAGGAAAAGGTGTGAAAGGACAATAAGCCCGCTGTGGCAAAGAAGTCACAGTCAGACATGGGGGACAGCTGAGGAGATGCAAATGTGCACAGGGAAAATGCGCTGGGAAATGCTTCAAAGAAAAGCCAGGTACTTGAGTTGGAAAAAGGGGTTTGTGCATTGTCCTTTTCGGGCAAGACAAAATATTTTCCAAGCATTTCGAGTGTCTTTTATTATTCTTCATCGGAGATTTATGCAGCGAAAATGTAAATGCGAAAAGTCGAAATTAAGTTGTAATCCCTGTAATTTTTGGCCGGCTCAAAGGGGTTGACAGCTGTCAGGAGAGAGAAAGTGCCAGAGAGGGAGAGAGAGAGAGAGGAGGACAGTTGCGGCGCCTGCGCAGCGGCTCAGCTCACACCTTTTTTCGCCTTTTCTGTTGGCAGGACATGCTTCATGTCCTGGCGCAGACAAAGCGACACATTTGTTTTGTAAATATTGCGTTTGTAATTAATGCACTCGCGATTTGAATATGTCGCTGCTCAGTCAAAAAAATATAATTTACATATCGATAGAACTTTTTTTTGCTGTTGATATCATTTTTCATTTTGCGTTGATAAATAGACATTTTTATTTTTTGGTTCTTCTGTTATTCAAATTTCCATCAAGATTAATGGGATGGCAGTGGACAAAATTTGCATAGGGCCACGGCCAACTGCGCATTGGCCAGATGTCGGCCGAGCCTTAATTAAGGGGCACGCGATCAGTTAGCCAAACTCGGTCTAAACAGATGCGCAGTCCCCAGCCCAACCCCTCCCACACTCAGACTCACACATTCCGTATGCTAATTTTGTGGCCTGCCCACGCGACAAGACCGCACGCGATCAACAAGGATCGTCAGGATCTCGCAGCTCCTGTGACTAAATTTAAGCGGCGACTGCAGCTGTTTAACTGTAAATTAAAATGCATTTGACGCAACTGTGGCAGCCAGCTGTTCTAATGCCACGCACTTAGCACTTCAGAAAGGACACCCCCACACACACACACACACACACACACAGACACACACTCACACACAGACGCACACACCCGCGCGCCGCTAGACGGGCTCATTGTCCGGATCTGTGCCGAGTTTTTGTGTTTTTCGTGGAAATTTCAGCATTTTCATGCTCGGCCGCACCGAAAATAGATTAGCTGCAGTGAAAGGATATTGAACCCAACTGGGCTAGACAACAAAAAAAAGAAAGGGCAACAAGGATCAGGCCTAGCAGGAGCAGCAGCAGCAGCAGCAACAGCAGCAGTTAGGGCTCACTTAGCGGCTGCCTCGCAGGAGCAGTTGTTGAAAGGCGCGTGCCAAGCTGAAACTAGGACATTTGCAGGACTACCTTTAAATAGAACAAATGAGCTCAGCAGCAAATTGACACGATCCAAAGGACATTGCATTTGACTGGACTATTATGAGGCGTCCGCAGCTCTTTCATTCCAAGTCAGCAGCACATTTGCTAAGCTATTTCTAATTATATTTTTTTTAAATGAAATTTTAAAAGCTTTAAAGTTTAAGCTAATAATATTATCAACTTTTCTTCATTTGAAACAAATTACAGTATATGCTAGAATATAACAACTTACAAAAATTGATAAGATCTTTAAAATTTCAAAATATCGAGAAGTAAGGATATCTTCATTACGCCGAGGATTTAATACTCTTGCAGATATGTGAGAAGATGGAAGCTCGTAAAGGCTTTGACGAAAATATCCTGTAAGATAGATTATTTTTTCAAATAGGTTCCGATAAGATTTTGCATTTATATAAGGATCATATCGGAATGAATGAATCCCGAGTTTGGACAAGTTGTCTCAATATAAAAAATGGATCCCATATCAGAACCAATTTTTCGACGAATCGTTCCTATATAGTATATATGTTTATGTAGATAGGATTTTGCATAGTGAAACTTATTAATGCCGAGTTTGATTAAAGACGAACCTTTAAGACTGAGCGACTAGTTGGCAGAAAAACAGAGAGACGGACAGACGGAGAGGCGGACAAGGCTATATGAGCTCGACTGTGATGCTGATATAGAATATATATACTTTATACAATGCGTTACACAATTCATCAGAAAATTGTAATACCCTCTACAAGGGTATAAAAAGTTTACTACCTTATAAAATTCTCTTATTGCATATAACAGATTGTATAATAAATTAAAAAAAAAACTCGAAAATAATAGAAGAAATATTCTTCTACTCTTGAAAATGCAGTAATTTTGATCGTCTTAAAAAATGAAGCTTACAATATTAAGTATTAAAAAAAAATGCATATAGAAAATATTTTCTTTTTTACAGCTTTCTATTCTCGAACCCTTTTGAATATCAATTGTTTTTGAAAACCAACAATTGGCCAATAAAAATCATGAAATCAAAGAATATGATATAGTTACAGCATAAGCTTGAATAAGTTTTTTTTTTTAAATCTGGCTATTCAGCAAACCGAATAATATTAAAAACTCCCTTGGGTGACCAAGAAGTGTGCGGTGAGCGGATATGCCCTGAATTATATTGAGTTCAGAAAAAGAGTCCGCCCTGTAGGAGCGTTCATTAGAGTTTTACGCAGTATTTACATATAAAAATAATATTTTTCAAGCATTTACAATGATAGCAACATAATAAGCTACCAATTTCGTAGGCAAACTAACCTATATTAATTTTTTCAACAATAATGTACTCAAAAAATGTTCTCGCTGCCGTTGTTCACATTTTTAAATCACGCGCCAAGAAATTCAGCTGCCACATTCCTTGAGCGTACAAAATGTAGTAATCTGGCAGCGCTGTAATGCTTGTCATGTGGCAACGCTATGGCAACATGTCGCCGCATTTCGCCGCACCGCCACCTCTTCGCCGCACATTTAATGCATAACCCCCAAAAGTTATCGCTCAGCACTGCTCAACTGATTTATCGAAATAGCTTACACAAGGAAATGTTAATTAAAGCCACAACTCTGTTATGTGGCAACTTATGCTGGTAAGTGCGTAGTCTAGGCCATCTGGCAAGGCCGCAGCAACACTATTGTGAACCGCAGAGCGCAAGCAACACTAAAAAATTGCGAATTAATTTTTGGCAACAGCATTAGTTGAGTGCTACTTATAAAAAATTACAGATAGTTATACGTTGTAAGTGTAAAGTGTGTGCAATTAGTTGATCGCTGTTTGCGCTGAGCATCAGCATAGTGTGTGTGTGCCACAGACACAGCCGTATAATCGAAAGCCATTCAAAGAAACAGCAGTCGTCGCCGTCGCCGGACCCACACTCGTGCACATTTCGCAGTCGTCGGTGGGACCACGACACGCTATTTTAGGAATTAAGCATATAAACAATAAGCATGTCCCGCTCTGAGTCAGCCTCCTGCACCAGCACCAGAGCCAGCAGCTCGGAGCCGCCGCTATGCAAACGCCTTAAATTGGATGAAGCCGGCGAGGATGGGGTTGCCGGTGGAGCAGCCGGGGTGCCAGAAGCATCATCAAGCAGCACCACCACCACTAGCAGCAGCAGCCAGCAGCGGCGCAAGCTCGCTGCCAGCAGTAGCAGCAGCGGCGTCAGCGACAACGGCAGCAACAACAACTACGAAAATCACGACAAAGCAAACGACGTTGACATGTTGAATGTGACAGAGACAGCTATAGCTACAGCTGCTGTTGCTGCAAACGAAACAGACGTGTGCGTATCGTCGTCTACTTCTGACACGGGCGCAGCGAATACGTCAAAGCAGCCAGCTGCCGGTGGCGGGGACGTTAGTACATCGTCAGCAGTGAATAAGGAAAGTAGTAACAATTGTGCGTTGTCCTCGTCCGCGACAGAAACAAATTCACTGGATACGGCAACAATTGCGCGCACTGTCAGCTCAACAAACTCCAACGTTAGTTCCACCAACAGCAACAACCAACACAGCAGCACCAGCAACAACAACAATAACAGTAACAACAGTGCAGTTATGGCTGCCAACAGCAACAGCGCTGCCGGAGCTTCTGCCGCCGCCGCTGGAGACATTGATGAGTCGCTTTATTCGCGCCAACTTTATGTGCTGGGACACGATGCGATGCGTCGCATGGCCAATTCGGACATCTTGTTGTCCGGTTTGGGCGGTCTCGGCCTCGAGATAGCCAAGAATGTCATTTTGGGCGGCGTTAAATCGATTACCCTGCATGACACAGCAGCTTGTACGGTAAGTGCGGCCGTTTGCTTTTTGGCTAAAAATCAATAATTGACTTTGTGTCGAATTCTAATTGCCGCGCGCGCGAAACAAAAATGAAAAAATGCAGCGGAACACGCAATCCGACCTGATTAGAGAAAGAAAAAAAGTCACACATGATTCATGATTCTGCAAAAAACAACAACAAAAAGAATTGGCAAACTCGCTAATTTTCATAGAGAGCAGCGCGTCGTTCTTTTTCTAGGTTATGTTTGCGCTTTGCCTAGTTTTCAACGCACTAGTTGGGCAAAAAAAGCGCTTAAGAAAAAAGAAATTGCTTAAATTTTTTTCATTCGTTTTTTTTCTTCGGCGCTTTTTGCTATTCCCGCTCGCTTTTTGGTTCTCGCTATAAAGTGTGCGAGCGAGACGACTAGCGTGTGTGCTGACTGTAATTGTTTTGGCACTGCGCTTTGTGTGCACATTCGCTATTGTTTTACTTTGTGAGCAAGCAATAAGAAATGCACTTCAGAGTTATTCGAATGTATTTAAGCAACATTAATCATATGCCGTGCGTTATTTAATTACATTTCATATCTCTAAGTATATTTTCTTAGATATTGCAATCGGATCGCGCATTAACAGCTATTTATGCGCTTGCACAGCGTTGCCACATAGCACACAAATTAACAACTGTTATGCATATATCGCAATAAGAGCTTTCGTATAAACAGGTCACGACAATAGCGTCGTTGTCGTCGTCGTCGACCGTTCGTTGCCCCCCACACTCCCCTTTTGCGCCCTGCATCCCCTGTCAAAGAGTCAGCGACTTCAGCTGAATTTCACAATATTTTGCGTTCGCTGAACTTTTCTCATTTTGCTAATCTTTTTTATGCGTCTTCTTCTTCTACCTTTTGTAGCTCAACGACTTGGCCTCGCAATTCTATCTGACCAAGTCGGACATTGGCAAGAACCGTGCAGAGGCCTCGTGCGCCCAGCTGGCGGAGCTGAACAGCTATGTGCGCACCCACTCATATAGTGGCGCCCTAACGGATCAGTTTCTCAGCCAGTTCCGTGTCATCGTTCTGACCAATTCGGATGCCGCCGAGCAGCAGCGCATCGGCCAGTTTGCCCATGAGAACAATATTGCTCTCATTATTGCCGAGACGCGCGGCCTGTTTGCCAAGGTGTTCTGTGACTTTGGCGACAAGTTCACCATTTACGATCAGGATGGCGCCCAGCCGGTGTCAACCATGATAGCCAGCATTACACACGATGCACAGGGCGTGGTTACCTGCCTGGATGAGACGCGTCATGGCTTTAACGATGGCGACTATGTCACCTTCTCGGAGGTACAGGGCATGCACCAGCTGAACGGCTGCCAGCCCATCAAGATCAATGTGCTGGGTCCGTACACCTTTAGCATTGGTGACACCAGCAAATATGATGAATATAAGTCTGGCGGCGTGGCCACACAGGTGAAGATGCCCAAGACCATCAGCTTCAAGTCTCTGGCCGATGCCGAGCAGGAGCCCGAGTTCTTGATTTCGGATTTCGCTAAGCTGGAAGCGCCCGCCACACTGCACGTGGCCTTTAAAGCTCTGGACTGCTATTTGCAAAATAATCACGCCGTGCCGCGTCCCTGGAACAACGAGGATGCCGATAAGTTTTTGCAGCTGTGCAAGGAAATCAAGAGCGATGTCGACGAGCAGCTAGTGCTGAAGTTTGCCAAGATCTGTTCGGGCAACACCTGCCCGTTGGACGCCGCCATTGGTGGCATTGTTGCTCAGGAGGTGCTGAAGGCGTGCAGCGGTAAATTTTCGCCCATCTTTCAATGGTTCTACTATGATGCACTCGAGTGTCTGCCGGCCGAGGGTGTTACCGAGGAGGATGCACAGCCACTGGGCACACGCTACGATGCACAGATTGCCATATTTGGACGCAAGTTCCAGGAGCAGTTGGCCGATGCCAAATGGTTTATTGTCGGCGCTGGCGCCATTGGCTGTGAGCTGCTTAAAAACTTTGGCATGCTTGGACTGGGCGTTGGCAATGGCCAGATCTTTGTTACTGACATGGATCTCATTGAGAAATCAAATCTGAATCGTCAGTTTCTGTTCCGTCCGCACGATGTGCAGAAGCCCAAGGCGTTGACAGCTGCCGATGCCATCAAGCGCATGAATCCCGATGTCAAGGTGACGGCATATGAGCTGCGCGTGGGCGCCGAAACGGAGAAGGTATTCTCCGAGGACTTCTTTGGCAAGCTGCATGGTGTGGCCAATGCGTTGGACAATGTCGATGCCCGCATCTATATGGATCGCAAATGCATCTTTAATCGCATACCGCTGGTCGAGACCGGCACCCTGGGCACCATGGGCAATGTGCAAGTGATTGTGCCATTCGCCACCGAATCGTACAGCTCCTCACAGGATCCGCCAGAGAAGAGCATACCCATTTGTACGCTTAAGAACTTTCCCAATGCCATTGAGCATACCCTGCAATGGGCACGCGACTGCTTCGAAGGCGTCTTCAAGCAGATCGCCGAGAATGCTGCACAATACATCTCCGATCCGCAGTTCACCGAGCGCATCCTAAAGCTGCCTGGCATACAGCCACTGGAGATACTTGAATCGATTAAGGTGAGTTTTACAGTAATTACTTTTTCTGTAGACATGGGTACTTCTGCAAACGATGCATTAACAATACAAATCTGATTTAATTTTATGGGCTTAGATCTGCATACTTAACTATTTTCCTATTTGATAAATAATTTGCATGTTCCCAAAGCTATTTAATTTCTTAAAAAAGAACTCGATGTGTATCATACATTGCAGGCAAGATCAGAAATCGTTTGCTTATTTACCAAAAGAATTATATATATATATATTTTGTATATTCTTATAGATCAAATATTTCAGATACTCTAATGGACGTTAACTCCTTATAAAGTTTGATCGATAAATATCGAAAATTTCATATAAAGTTCGGCATTGAAGCTGTCATTTAATTATTGTCTGCTTTCTATTATATATTTTTAAATTATAAATGTCTTGGGCGGCTTTTAGACCGATAGTTCTTAACAAACTTTACAAAAATTGATCGATAAAGATCGAGTACTATCTTAAGTTCTAACTTGAAGATACCCATAAATTGTTAGATATGTATCTATTACTTACTGACAATTATATATATGTATATATGATGTTTACTTTCAAAACCTAAGCTCTCTCATACACTGAGAAATGATCGATAAATATGAAACTTTTCTTAAATACTATAAAGGTTGTCGATAATTCTAAAACTTCAGAGTAATATTGAATTTTTGCACTGATTAGTTACTGTCATTAATAAAAATGTTGATTGTTTTTATTATTATGATTAATGAAAAACCACTTATTTGATATGAAGAAGTTTCGAATAATTTGCTTTTATAGAACCCCTATTATATGACGTTAAGCATTATGAACACTCATTTACTTATATTGGTCCCCTCTCTGTTTTTAGAAAGCCCTGATCGATGACAAGCCGAAAAGCTTTGCCCACTGCGTGGAATGGGCGCGTCTCCACTGGGAAGATCAGTACGCCAATCAAATCAAACAGCTGCTCTTCAATTTCCCACCCGAGCAGGTCACATCGAGCGGTCAGCCCTTCTGGTCTGGCCCCAAGCGCTGTCCCGAACCGCTTGTTTTCGATGTGAATGAACCGATGCACTTGGACTATGTCTATGCGGCGGCCAACTTGCGTGCCGAGGTCTATGGCATACCCCAAGTGCGTGATCGCCAGAAAATTGCCGAGCTGGTGCAGCAGGTTAAGGTAAGGATTGGGGATAACAGGAAATCTATATAGGAATCAATCATGTACTTAATTTCCTGTTGTAGGTGCCCGAATTTAAGCCACGTTCTGGCGTTAAGATTGAGACAAATGAGGCAGCCGCCGCTGCGGCAGCCAATAACTTTGATGATGGCGAGGTGGATCAGGATCGTGTGGATAAGATCATAACAGAGCTGCTGAAGAATGCTGATAAGAGCTCGAAGATAACGCCGCTGGAGTTCGAAAAGGACGATGATAACAATCTGCACATGGACTTTATTGTGGCCTGCTCCAATTTGCGTGCGACCAACTATAAAATCCCACCGGCCGATCGTCATAAGTCCAAGCTAATTGCTGGCAAGATTATACCGGCCATAGCCACCACTACCTCGGTGCTGTCCGGCCTGGCTGTGCTGGAGGTGATCAAACTGATTGCCGGTCATCGTGATTTGCCCAACTTTAAGAATGCGTTTGCCAATTTGGCGCTGCCATTCTTGGCCTTCTCGGAGCCGCTGCCGGCGGCCAAGAACAAATACTACGACAAGGAATGGACACTGTGGGATCGTTTTGAGGTCACCGGCGAGATGTCGCTGCAGGAGTTCCTTAACTATTTTGACGAAAGGGAGAAATTGAAGATCACAATGCTGTCGCAGGGCGTCTCAATGCTCTATTCATTCTTCATGCCCAAGGCCAAGTGCTCGGAGCGTCTGCCCCTGCCCATGTCCGAGGTGGTGCGACGTGTTTCCAAGCGGCGTATTGAGCCCTACGAGCGCTCCCTGGTATTCGAGATATGCTGCAACGATGTCGATGGCGAGGATGTGGAGGTGCCCTATGTGCGTTACACGCTGCCCTAAGCCCCGGTGCAGCCGATATGCCACGCCCCCTAATCTTAATTGTAACAGTTAAATTATTATTTAAACAAAAGAGAAAATAACATTTTTTTTGGTCGTCGCGTTTGGAGTTGTGCGCCTGAAAGTTTACAGAGTGGAGCAGGATTGCATTTTAAACAAAAAGAAACAAAATAGGAAAAGCCAGAAAATGGCTAAAACAACACACTCTCACCCACATCTCCCGCACACTCACACACAACACACACACGAACACAACTAATCGATATAGAAATTATATATTATATATGTATGTGTAATCCTATAAGGAAATGGCAAATATTGAATTCGCGTTACACGAAAATACAAAGACTCGACTTAAAAACTAAAAAAAAAAAGGAAAGAGAAAAAAAACGAAACAATTAAAAATAAAATTTTGTGTCTGCTCATCATAGGTTAAAAATCGTTTAAATATGGAGCGCATTTCGTTTTTTTTTTATTTTAAATTTGATATAAACTAAAAAAAGAAATTAAATTGTATTAAAGGCGAAGCAACTGAATAAAGCTGTATATTTCATATGGTAATCGAGTCTGGGTTAATTTCCCTCGCCTTTAGTTTTTTGCCATTTTGAAAGCTAATTTCGTTTGGAACATCTTTTGCATAAAACCGCACACACAACCGCGCGCCCCCCGTCCCACCAAGAAGCTTAAGCCAAATTGCTCCGAGCCCATCTATCTACAGAAGCAACCCATCGCAACTCTTAACCCCGCTGCCATTATGTTTGTTGCACTCGCAGTCAGTTAGTAAAAAGTTACGTGACACAATTAAATATTTTATGCCCCAAGACGTTTATGCCGTGTCGGTGGCAGCGGCTGCCACTAAAGTGCAATTGGCAAGTGCCTTCCGCTTTCACCAAACCTAGCCGCCCCCCTAAAGTTGTGTGTTATAATTAAATATTACACGCAATGCAACTGAAGTATAGCAAAGTTATGCAGCTTCTTTCTGCACTGCGGCCGGGCAAAGTTTTCCCTCAAATTATGCAGTTAATGAAACAAACTCCTGAGTGAAATACATATCGCGTGGGCACCACGTCGAGCTGAAACTGGATACGCTACGCAGCAGCTGCATATTTCACATGTACGTCATTTAATAGAAATAATATATAAAAACCCCGCCCATTATTTTTCACTTTAGCTAAAAGTTTCTTTATTTCAGGTAATTTGGCTGGAAACGAACTTATCTAAAATACTCTCGAAGTGACGGCGGCGCATACGGTCCTTGCAATTGGTGCATTTCAAGAGATACGTGTAGAGCGAAGAAGCTATCAAAATCTTTGCAGGCAACATACATCTGTTTAAAGTAAGGAACTTTTGGGTGTATTTAGATTAACTGCGAAAAGGGATTTCCAGCCACATAGTCCACATAAATCCTTCACGTTTAGTTAACGACCTTTAAATAAGAGGAATAAAATCTGATCTGTGAGAAACCATCGCATACTATGGTAAGATTTATAAAATAGTTGTCATTAAAGAACAAATATATATTATAATATATTTATTTATATATAGTTACAAAACAATCTTCAATAGCACTAAGGTAGTATTCGTCTGGGAACGTGAGGAATTTGAACTGGTAACCTTCTTGTTACTGGTTCTGCTTGGACAACTTATGGAACACGAGTTTCTTTTTATTATTGAAAACTTCTAAAAACCTCATAAAATACATCTGGAAGAGATCTCTATTTATCTTATCGATTATATCTAAAAAATAACCCAACTATTTATGATGAGATTCATGTTATAATAATTTTTATCGATTGTATTAAAAATATAATACAACTATTTATGATGAGACTATTATAATATCATTATATCTGTCTAAGATAAATAGAGTATTAGCTCTCCAAGTCAAGATCTATTTGAATTTATGATAATTTAAGGATTTTTTGAATGGGAATTTCTTAAGGATTAAATGCTTGATTAAAACTTTTAAAAACCTAAAAAATTAATATTATTTTTCACATTTTATACACACATCATAAATAGGGGTTATGTTTTAGATATAATCTATAAACTGGAGTGCTGGAATATTTAATAGATTATATACTATATTAAAATTTTGAAAAAGTTTATAAATTCAGTATTATTATCCACATTTTATTATACATAACAAATAGTTGGGTATTTTGTTTTCAAGTATAATCGATCTCATAAATTAAAACAGTGCTAGCTGTCCATATCAAGCTCTATTTGAGCTTATGATAACTTACGGAACTTTTAAATTGGAGTTTTTAAGGATTAAATATACTAGATTAAAAATTTTAAAAACATAAATATCACTCTTATAATGCACATTTTATAACACATAATAAATAGTTAGATCATTTTTTTGATAGAATCTATAACATTATTTTAATATAGTCAAAGCACTTCAAGACAAGCTCTTTTTGAGATTATAATAATCTAAGCCCTTTTTATGTTTTAACTTTCTGTTTAGAATTTGTTAAGAAGTTTTAATGCAACTACAGGTCTAAAAGCCCATTAAGTACGCTGCTTAAAATTTCAGATGCTGTTGGGTATTATCAATGGGTATTATTAAGTCCCGAAATCGATATAATCTATTTATGATAAACGGGTGTAATTACGCACAACTGATCTCTGTAATATATTTCATTTTATAGTTATATATCTCTATATATAAAACTGTTTGTCCTGACTGACTGAATGACTGACTGACTGACTGACTGACTGACTGACTGACTGACTGACTGACTGACTGACTGACTGACCGACTGACTGATTGGTGATCAACGCACAGCCCAAACCGTAAGAGCTAGGAGGCTGCAGTTACCTTATGTGATGTAGGTGCACGTTAAGACGGGGTTTCGGGAAATTCCACCCGCAAGTGTGGAAAAATCGCGAAAAACGTTTGTATGTAACTTTTTTGTTTACCATCCGATCGGCCTCAAACTTATTTTCAAAGATCTTTGTTCAAATTCATTTGAGGGGTGTTTCACACTTTTCGTAAAATCCGTTCCTCCTTGGTGGAAATTGAGGTCAAAGATTTGGTGGGTGACGTTTCGCGCTCAAATTCATTTCCAAAGATCTATAAGAAAAATCATTTGATACGTGTTTCACACTTTTCGCAGAATTCACACTTTTTCGTGGGGAATGCGATTTAAAGATTTTTTGAGCGAAGTTTTAAGTTGTGTCCGATTTGCTTGAAAATTATTTTCAAAGCTCTACATAAGAACTTAATAAATACGTATTTCAGCGATTTGGGAAATTCCACCCGCAACAGTGATAAATTGGCGGAAAACGGTTGTATGAAAGTTTTTTGTTTACGATTCGATCGGCCCCAAACTTATTTTCAAAGATCTTTGTTCAAATTCATTTAAAAGGTGTTTCACACTTTTCGAAAAATCCGTTCCTCCTTGGTGGAAATTGAGGTCAAAGATTTGGTGGGTGACGTTTCGCGCTCAAATTCATTTCCAAAGATCTATAAGAAAAATCATTTGAGACGTGTTTCACACTTTTCGCAGAATCCAAATTTTTTCGGGTGGAATACGACTCAAAGACTTTTTGTGCGAGGTTTTAAGTTGTGTCCGATTTGCTTCAAACTTATTTTCAAAGCTCTAGATAAGAACTTAATGAATACGTATTTCAGCGATTTGGGAAATCCCACCCGCAACAGTGGTAAATTGGCGGAAAACGGTTGTATGAAAGTTTTTTGTTTACGATTCAATCGGCCCCAAACTAATTTTCAAAGATCTTTGTTCAAATTCATTGGAGGGTTGTTTCACACTTTTTGAAAAATCCATCCCTCCTTGGTGCAAATGGGGTCGAAGATTTGGTGGATGATGTTTTATGTTCAAATTTATTTCCAAAGATCTATAATAAAAATCATTTGAGACGTGTTTCACATTTTTCGCTAAATCTAAGCTCCTTCGGTGGAAAATGCATTTCAAAGATTTTTTTGGTGAATTTTAAGTTTTGTCCGATTTGCATAAAAGTTTTTTGATTCCCGTCCGATCAGTTTCAAAATCATTTTCAAAGCTTTTTGGAAACATTGATGCCACGGGCAAGGCCGGGTTATACCCGCTAGTATTTCATATGATTGTTCTCCAATAATTTATGCGAAAAACTTTCCATTCTTACGTATTTTAGCTCTTTGTGCCTTGGTCAATCCCATGCTTGATTCTGCGTAATATTACGAACCGGCAAAGGCGTAATCTCGGAGCTTTGATGCATATCGCTCGTGGTGGTGCGTCAGCTTTTGTGATTTCGGGCTGAGTCATGGGAGCTTGGCACAGTGTGTTGACGGGAAAGCACCCAACCATGGCTTTCGAAAATTCGAAATTTCTGGCAGAAAAGTTAGCGGGAACGAAATCAGCTTATTGCACAAGGGCCCGTCTGTCAGAACTGAGTGCGAATTATAATATTAACTGGAATTTCACACTTAAGCTAACGTGCGCGGGCATCTGATGGAATTTGTGGAACATAACGAATTTAATCAAATGGGTTATTTCTGATGCGTAAAGCGCATTTTTTTAATAACACAAATTGGCATCAAATATGTATTATTATCTTATTAATTATGACATAAACAATTATATTTAATGCGATGATACATTTAAAAGAGCATTTCAAATTCCCCATTATATGACTAAATACGTGTCTTTTGTGTATTCCGCTTCTTTGTTGTTGTTGTTGTTGTTGTGGTTGTTTTATGACATTTTTTACGTATATCCGGTGACGTTGCAAACCTGCTGGCTAAAATCCAAAAGTAAAAAATCCAGTTCTGTATTCGGCAGTGTGCGAACTGGAGACACCCTTTACCCAGCCATACGAGAGCCTACCTAGGAAATTTGGTGTCTCTAGCGCTGATGAGCTCCATGATATGTCCCAAAAAATGTAAATCGGAAACCGATTTTTATCGATTTTGTGAAAACAGACCTTGATCTGTGTGGGCAAAAGTAAAAGATGCCTGCATAAACCCATAATACCCTTTTTTGCGCCCATTTTCTATGTTACAGGGCATAACAAGTCAAAGGGGCTCTAATCGGTAGTGCCCGAATAAGGATACCCTGGAAGATAAATGGAAGATACTTGATAAATACATATTATTGAAGAAGATACATGTCAAGCATTGAGTAATAAATATATGTTTATAAAAACCTACGAGATTTGCTAAAAAAAACAGTACTTTGATATCGATTTTTTGCTTGGAAAATGGGCATGTTTTTGATTATCGGAAACAAACTACCTACGTTCAAATTTCAAAATTTCTCTAGCTCTCATAGGTTCTGAGATCCTTTTGTTCATACATGTGCATGGATGGACAAACCGTCTAACAAATGGGCAGACGGACATGTCAAGATCAACTCGGCTTTTGATGTTGACCAAGTATATATATACTTTATGGGGACAGAGGTGCTTCATTCCGCCTGTTAAAAGCATATGCACAAGACCATATACTCTTTTTAGCCATTTTCAATGGTTACAGGGTATAAAACGAAACAAAATAAATTATAAATAAAAGTAACTTTTTTCCTGGCCGTTATGTTGGCAATTTGAATATTTTTCATATCACATATTTGTTTTGTTGCTTAATTAATTAAATTCAATAAATTTTCACTCGCTTGTGACACTTTTGGTGATAATGAGGCGAAGCGGCAAAAACGCCAACATCGAATCTGATTAATGGAACATTCTCCATTTAAATCGTCAAGGTGGACGCCAACCAGCTGATGGACACGGACACGGACTCGGACCCGGGTGCATTGCACGGCGCTCGGTTTGGTCCAAGGGGAACTTGCAGCAATTGCAATTGTTATGACAACGAATTTGTTGTTGTTTTTTCTGTAAATATTAATTGCACAGATAGCCAATTGGGGGCCATGTGAAGGCCGCTGCTTACAATTAGGCCGGCATTTCCTGTCTCCACATAAAATAAAACTTTTACTTGCTGCTCGCTTCGATGAGACATTTGAATAATATTCAAGTGCGACATCCGCTGCCAAATTCATGCCAACAGCATGTTAAATGTGGGAGTAGACACTAAATGGTTTTTTACAAGTATTTTATTCATCTATTAAGTGATCTTTACAGGTGGAAGTATCTGCGAAGCGCAGTTAAACTCATTATTTTAATATTTGAGAAAAAAGTATATTATTTGATAAATTATTTCTGTAGAACGTTTAGAAAGTTTTTAAAGTAAATCCTAAAATTAATATAAAACTCTTACAAGAAATACCAATATTTTGTTTAATTATTTTAATTATTTCTTAACTTTTTACTTTTGCTCTGCGCTGCGCTGGCAAATCTCAACAAATTAAAGCTTGGAAAGAGGGAATAAAAAAGGAAGGTTCTTGAAATGGTTGGTTATATTTTATTTATATATTATATTAAAATATTGTATAAGCTGGGTGAGATCTAGTTAATAAAATATTTTAAAATGGAAGGTCGCCAAAACTAGCAAAACTTATATTTATTTTTTTATTAATATTATTATTCTTATACTAAGCTCAAGTCAGGTAAATTAAAATTTATTATCATATTATAATATATTATATTACATTATATTATAATATATAATATTATTTATAATTAATTTATATTCTCGTGCCGTTTATGCTTTATAAATATTTTATTAATATAATATTACAACAATAGTACTAAAAAATAAATTTCAAAATAAATAAAATAATAATATATATAAACAAATATATATATTAAACAAATTTGTATTCAAATTATAAAACTTAAAATCTTAAACAGATTTTGAGTAATAATATAAAATAGGTTATATATATTATTGATATAGGATTGATTATAAATTTGGTTTAATTAAATGTCCGACTAACACAGCTTACTATTCTATGCGTAGAGTTTCGCATAGGGTATTTCGAGGTCCATCAACAACAATTGAGACCACACATATTGGACAATTAATGGCAGTTAGCACAAATTTCGAAATAGTTTTTGATTTCCTGCCTCGTTTTGGACACTGTGTCGTCTGTGGAAGTGGAACGTGTTCGATTTTGCGCACCTCTAAAAATATTAAAATAGATATATATATACTTATGCATATATGGCGACATGTAAATCGCATGTGCACGCGGCCAGAGTCCATTTACGAAAGAGATCGTATGTAAATATTTAAATTGAGTCATTAAAAAAAAACACTCATTGCACAATGGAAAGCGGCGACAGGAACAACAGCTTATTAGACATTATCCATATCGGCCAGACGACGACGTCCGTGCGTCGCGGCGCCCGGATCCATATAGTATATTGTATAAGCGATCTCGACTAGGCACACGCTGCAGACCATAATTGATTTATGTCACGAACTTGCCACAGACGTTCAAAGCTACAAGATATAACGTATTTATCAACTGCAATTAATGTGAGAACGCAATATATACATATATAAAAAAATATAAAATAAATAAATATGCTTATATAAAGGAAAAACAACGTACAGATAATGTCCACTGAGTCATTGACATCGGCGTATGCTAACCTTAGCCCCCGACCAAATGCATCTCTTTTTTTCATATGCGCACTATCAATGCGCATGAAAACAAGTAAGAATATAACTTATGATCGGCACACCGAAGCTTAAATATCCTTATAGTCATACGGCTTGGGATCCTGCAGATATGTGAGGAATTAGTGAAGTTCGTACTTTAAAAACAGAAAATTAATCCATACAAAAACTCATTTGGGAATATGCAATATTTCCTATAAAGATCTATGATATAGTGGGCCGATGATAACCCGACTTTACCCATATGTTTTGAGCTTGGTAAAAGTCTTTAATGACATGTTTGGTTAAGATATATTGAAAGGCAAATACACCTCCGATTAATCCAAAAGCAGCAATACCATATAACGATTCGATTTTAACACATGTAGGGCCTGCCACAGAGGGACGTGGGTATAAGGACTCGTCTGTTTATACGGAGCAAGAATAAATAAAGCCATGATATAGATATATATATACTTTATGTTGCACGACACAATCATCATACCCCTGGAGAAGCGTATGAAAATGCAATAAATATAACATTATTATAAGAAACATAAATCATATATGTAGCGGATGTGATGACATCCGCATATGCGTGTATACTGCCCCGATACCGAGAACCACTTTATCGATAAGTCAAGGCTTTTGATCTTGACCATGGCAGCGCTACGTCAACTAAAACTATGATCAATTACGGTTCTATCGATCGGAAGTTACGCCATGACGTACCCACGCACCTATCTAGAGGTATTGAGTAAATATTGTTGCTATTGATAAGGTATTAGACTTATATTTATTTGGAAATTCTTATATTCATATTGGGTATTTTTTTGGGTCACAACGTGCATTGCTCAAACGACCACGCCCCTTGCACAGTGGGGCAGTGGAGTACTGAAAATTCAATTGACGATTGATCCCAAAAGACCTCAAGACTGACTCGTAATTTGAGCGATGAGATAAATATGTGAATGTGTATAGTTGTTCTCTGTGTTGACTGGGGTCTAGGTCTACGATTATACGTAAACACATGGTATTTGATTAAATGACAATAAATTACATTTAAATGAATATGGATCACAATTATCGACAGTACGTCAGCATCACTCATCATCTGCATAAGCACAGAGATTATAAGAAATTTTTTAATTTTTTTAAGAATTACCCATACACAAATATACGCAAAAATAATTTTAAAAACATATATATTTATATATTATAAGAAGTAACTTTCAACCAAGAGATCAAATCAACATTTACAAAATTAATTCCCCTAAAAGATCTAAATTGTAGAGAATAAAACTTTTTTGAAATAAAAAACATTTGATTATTATTCAAATTGACGTTTATAAATATTTAAGAAAATGTTTAAAGTTCTTATTCTTTCAAGTAGTATTTCTGCGGGTCAATAACCTAAATAAATGTAGGTAAAAATAAATAAATAGTAAATATATTAAGAAGAAATTTAATTTTTTCTTTCTTCTCAGCTATTGACTGATAAACATTTAATAGTCTTCAATTTCGTTAAGAAATTACATCTGACAAGACTCTTCCGATTCCTTCTTTCTATAACTTAATTAAGAGCAAAATGATTTGATTTCATGCTCTTAAACTGACGTGTGCCACACGATCGCTCTTGAGGCATGCTGCAGTTGCAATAATGCAGTGTCACCCCCCGAATTTAACACAATTGCTTAACAAATATGTAAACATTGCGTTCGCGTCTTACTTAAGTCAACTGCAGCTCTGCAACACTCGCAATTGGCACACGAAAACACTCTCTTCCGAAGAAGCAATGGTCGTAAAACAGAAATGGCGAAGAGGCCTAAGAAAACATCGCCATAGACGAAGCGAACAGTAAAAACTGCACTCGCTTTAAGCCGCGCAGTCGTCGTGCATTTATTGCTATGCCTCGAACTCTTAGCTGCTGCGATCGCTGTGCGCTCACGCGTCAGGCTCTCTCGCCACTTAACTAAATCAACAGTCAGACAAACCAAAACGGTTTTGTGTCGCGCTCATATACGCTGTCGCACTCAGTATCGGGCCGGCAGCCAAAGCCAGCACAAGGCGCACAAAAGGCGGTCTGATGAGATTTCAGTGTTGTTTTATACGATAAAAAGAAGGATTATTTGAATATATGTATTTAAAAAGCGAGCAAAACCGAAACGAATAAAACGAAATAAAGAAGACGCATTGCCAGGCGAGCGAGTCGCGTGAGCTGTTTTTGTTTTTGTTTTTCTTACTGCGCCTTCTTTTGTAAAAAGGCGCGCACAAAAGCAAACAACAACAAGGCAGAGCAGGCGTCTTGTCGGTGTGCGTGCGTGTGCGTGTGTGAGCGCGTGGGATTACAGCAACAAATGCAGCAGCAGCAACAGCTCCTTTGTGTACGCATCGCGTGCTAGTTAATTGTGTCGTTGCATCTACAAAAGCAAACAAAAGCAATAGCCCAACAGCCAAACAACAACATCAGCTAATGTGTGTTTAATAGTGTCGGTGTCGT